TGTAGGTTTTTATATAATAATAGTCATGGTCTATATTAGTAAAAGGTTCGATTTTTTTAAAATAACCTTCATCTGATGACAATTAAAATGTCAGTTTTATAAAGAATGCGTTGTGTTTTTTATTATTAAATGGCGGATTTAATAAACATTGTCGTCTTTAATTCTCCTTAAAGGTTGTATATGGTGTTCAATTCTCCTTAAAAGTTGTACATACCACAACATGCATATTCTGTACATTATCACAAGCAGAAATTTCATATCCATTCATACCAATCTGGTGGCCAAGTCCTAACCCTGCAGATGAAAAAGGGGTGAACAGAAATATAGAAATACAGAAACATTAGAAGATTACAACTTGGCATCTCACGAAGTTGCAAATTAAACTTCTAATGCCAAAGAACAAAAGGAAATGTTTCTCACTAAGGCAAGCATGATTTTGAGCAATAAACACTGCAATGGCTATGTGTTTTTGCAGGTTTGCAAAGAATATATATTAATCCAAAGAAGGTGCTTTTCCAATTTGCATCAACTTAATCAGAAACGATTCAATATAGACAGAGTCATGTGGCTGTAAACACAGAAATATTGAATCAACCCATGCTGTAAATCGAGCCATAGAACAAATCCGTAGCTACACCACTACAAAATGCTATAAAATTCTGAATCTGAACAATCAATTCTATAAAATTTACAAACTTTTTATTCATTCTCGAAAGACATAACTTTAACTTAATCCTATATGGAACTTATGAAGAAACACTATGATGTGGAAAAGGACATGTTTTCGTGACATATTGCAAGAACAGAGAGAGTGAGGAATGTACTTCACCCTGCCTAGGTAGAGGCTATTTCAATCTCATGATTCTTCATGATAGGAGTACCAGTTACCGTTTGTGAGGGATCCGAACCGTAAGCGCTAGTGCTATATGTTCCATTTGAAGTATCATAGACAGGTGCAGTTGGATTTGGAGTATCCGACATCAAGTGCTGAAACGGGTTAGTTGAAGGTCTAGGAATCTCAATAGCTCCTTCCAACATTTTCACCACAACACTCATCGCAGGCCTTGCCTCAGGAATATACTGGACACACCAAATAGCAACCTTTACAATTCTCTCAGCCCTCTCTTTATCTTTCTCCTCTATTCCGCAAACTACCATTATCTCTTCTAGTTCTCCAGGCTCAAACTTCTTCCAAACCCACCTTGGGAACCAGTCTTGGCTGTCTTGAATATTATTGTCAAGATTCCTTCTCCTGCCTATGATCTCAAACAATAGCATCCCAAAGCTGTAAACATCACATTTGTGTGTTACAGAAAACCTCATCCAAACTTCCGGTGCAGCATAACCAGGAGTGCCTCTCCCCCCAGTCATGGTTATATGAGTATTATCCCTGTTACAGAGCTTGGCCAAACCGAAATCAGCTACTTTTGGAAATAAATTTGCATCCAAAAGAATGTTTTCAGGCTTTATATCGTAATGGACTATTCGTTGTTGGCATTCTTCATGCAAGTAAGCAATCCCTCTCGCTGTCCCCACCGCAATTTCATGAAGCTTTTCAAATCCTAAGTCCTTGTTGCTATGAAATAAGAACTTGTCAAGCGATCCATTTCCCATGTACTCATAAACAAGTGCTCTGAGGTGTTTCTCAAAGCAGAAGCCATAAAGACGGACCAGATTGAAATGGTGAATTTTTCCAATTGTACTAACTTCTGCCATAAATTGTTCCTCTATTCTCTTGTCTGAGCTCCCATTTAGAACCTTCACTGCTATAAGGGTTCCATTACTAAATATGCTCCCTTTATAAACTGCACCAAATCCTCCTTGCCCCAACAAGTGGGTGAAGTTATCAGTTGCAATCCGAAGTTGTTGATAAGTGAACCTGATGGGCTTCTCTCTTTCCATATCTTTTAGGAACCCGTCCATTGTGATTGTCCGGACGTCGGGATTAAGAGGGCTGCCTGTCTGACTTGTTTTCTGCAATTCTTGAACGATGCAAACCACGATCGCCACTAAGACGAATCCTGCATAATTTAAAACTCAATGAAAAGCCATTAGCACTTGAAATTGTTGGCTTTTTCTAAAATGAAATAAAGATCAACAAGTAATTAACAACAAACCAATGCAGAAAACAAAAAGCAAACGGGGAGAGGGATAGATCTTACCCCCGAATGTGGAAAACACTGCTATGGGAATAGCTGGGGAAAACTCTGACATGGGAATAGTTGTTGCCTCTCTACTATCTGACATTAATCAGGAGATATATTACAATGGAAGTATAAAAAGCATTCAACAAACTCCCAAATGTTCTGTAGTAGCACAATTTAGATTACACATGACAAGATATGGATTTCATTAGACAGAAAGCTCAAAGTAAATAACACTTCGGTGAGTCCATTATTTGACCAAACAGAAACTATTCCAATGGGGTTTGTTGACTTTGGTCCCAATTTGTACCAATATGCTTGTGTGGTTTTTCAAGAGATCAGGTGTCCCTTTTGTGTGGGTTTAGGGAGTCTAGAACAAAGCCTTCCTTGTGAAGGAGAAAAACATAAGGGAAAAAAAAAGAAAAGAGGGATGTAGTGGAAGCCACCACATGAAAGTCCAAAAAAGCAAAGAAACAAAGCAAGATGACTTATTCTTTTATGGCAAGCTAACAGGTCCTTGAAATCAAGGACTCACCTCAACAGATCAAAAGACCCCCACGGCAATTGAATTGCCTTCCACATGAAACACTTGCTGCCAGCAAGTCAACAAAAAGGAGCTCATCTCTATAAAATCCGTACAAGCATGGAATTGAAAAAAAAAAAAAAAAAAACCAGGAAGATAGGCATGTGGGTTACCACGTGAAATCCCAGAGGGGAAGAAACAAATAGTTTCTTCTTTTGATGATGCAACTGGTGGCTTGTGCAAGTGTATGGAAAAGCAAACAAAGAAAGAATATCAAAAGCATTTGTTTTGTTTGATCCAGGGGTTCCAAATCAACAAGGAGGTTAATTCAGATTTTACTTGGACAGGACTTTTATCCTTGGGTGTCTTAATCAAATTAAAAGACACTTGTTAATGGCACCAAGCTATGAGGGACCAGCTGGAGCAAAGCAGGGCCACAATCACTTTTCCTTCACGACTTCATCATTCCAAACAGCAAGCAAAACCGTTGGGTCTCTCTACTATGCCTTCAAGCATCTCAAACACAAGTTCAATCCGTGGGGATTGTCACGATGATTTCGATCATCACAAAACAAAATTAAATGTGGTGTCTTTGCAAGGAAATCATGAGCAGGGGTTTACCTTTGACTTTGGATTTTCCGAGATGTAGATGGGTGTGGTGGTGAGCCACTGTTGAAGTTTATCCCTGTTGGTCTTCCGCCACTTGCAAAACACCAATTTAAAAGCAACCAAAAACAAAGAGAAAAAAAAAAAAAAAAGTCAAAACCAAAGAAAAAAGAGTAATTGGCTTGGTGCTGCAGATGGCAACAATAAATAAACAAAGAGGAAGATTCCCACCGAAATAAGGGAAGAAAAGTCAAATGGCGTCAGCCACTTTGTTTGCGATTTACTTTGAGTCTCCAATTGAAGTATGACTTGTCACAAAGACTACAGCGGTGAACCAATCTCTGTTCATGGGCTGTCAAACATAATTGCCCATTAATTCTCAAAGGCCATACTATTTATTTAATAGGTGATCCAAATTATTATCCATTAAATTTTAAAATGCTCAAATTTCCTATTATATAATTCATGGATCAATTTTAAAAAATCCTCATAGCCTTATTTGGGTCAAAGTGCAAGTGTCAATTTTAGAAAATTAGTGGGTTAATCAAAATTGCTCATTATTTTTCTTGAATATTGACAAAAAGAAAAATGGTACAAAACCATCCAATATTTTCTCATGGGTCATCTACCCATGCAAATTTCAATGAGATTAAATTCAAATCTCTCAAATACAAATTCTCAATTAGTGGTCTACACTTGCCCATTAATTTTCAATTTTTCCCATGGGTCATCTACCCATGCAAATTTCAATGAAATTAAATTCAAATTTCTCAAACACAAATTCTCCATTAGTAGGTCACACTTACCCATTACTTTCTGATTTTTCTCATGGGTCATCTAATTATGAAAATCTTCAAATCGTCTCAAAGACACAAATTCTAAATTATTGGGCCACACTTACCCATTAATTTCCAAACTTTGGAACTACGTCGGTTTGATCCCGTCCAGGGTACGTAGACAATCTAACATCCCAATAAACGCAACAGCAACTAAATTTAAATCCTTGGTTTATCTTAACCAAATTTTGCCAAAACACTTTCCCAAGTGCAACTGTCAATTTTAGGAAAAATTAATGGGATAATCAAAATTACTTATTATTTTTATTGGACATTGACAATAAGAAAAGTGGTACAAAACTATCCAGTTTTTCATGGGTCATCTACCCATGCAAATTTCAATTCAAATCTCTCAAACACAAATTCTTAATTCGTGGGCCACACTTACCCGTTAATTCCCAAATCTTAAATCCGAACTACGTTGGTTTGATCCCTTTGAAAGGGTACGTAGGCAATCTAGAGATTCAATCTAGATGCAACCGTCCAAAACACAATTCTATATCGAATCCTTGGTTTATTCAACTAAATTCACTTAAACACTTCTCAATACAATTCAAATCAAATTTCCTCTGCAATGAGTCATTTTATTCATTGTGATTCTTTGAACTACGAGTTACTTGATTCTCACAGGGGATACGTAGGCACCCTGAGGTTCGACTTAGGGGCAATCGCAAAACCAAACACACACTTACTGTTTCTTTATAATGGAATCAAAGGGTGTTCCCTTGAAACAAGGAATTGTAATTAAGAGACACTGTGTCTCGAATGGGTCGAACCTAAAATAATAAAACCTAATTATTTAATTAGTGATGGTGAAATTACGTTGGGAAGGTTCTTCAACACACTTTGAAGCTTATTGAATACACTTATTGCACTTTCGGGTAGGGTTAATGCCCGGCCCGGTCAAGCCGAGGTTTCAAAGACCTTGGTGCGGACTCTCCCATTGGGCCGGGCTTAGATGGGCTTGATGGGCAAATTCTTTGTTTTTTTTTTCTAAGTCTATTAAATATTTTTTTACACAACAATTAAGAAATTAATTTAATTTATAACATGTGTAATAAAAATAAAAAGTGATCTTCAAAACCAATTTATACGTCAATTGCAACTTTTAATAGTCGGTAGGTGGAATTCCACCTATGTGGAAAATCATTGTCTATATATATATATATATATATATATTTCATATTTAACTCATTGTAACAATTTACCCATAATTCATGCCTCTTATTTGATGAATTCATGTTACTTACAATATTAGTTAATTTTTTTTCTACACCATTTGGACAACTTTATTGTTCTATTTCTTATGGCCGAACCAGGCCTAGACGGGCTCAAACGGGCTGGGTTGAGGTTAAACCATTGGCCCAAGCCATACCCATTCTTAGAGCGGACGTGCTTTGGCCCATTGGGCCCCAGGCTACCCACTTAGGCCCGTGAGCCGTGGGGCAAATGATGATCCCTACTTTTGGTCAAAGATGAGATATTTGCTGTCTACAATGTTAGAGTTCACTCAAACTAGCAAGATATTGTCCATTTTGGGCAGCCTTGATATGACTTTTTTGCATTACAATTCCAATTGAATAGGTTCTTCATCTATTATAGTTAGCTTGGGTAGCCTTGATATATTGCTAGATGTCACTCTTAGCTCGTGGAAGTCCTAGGATTGATTGTGATCAATCCATGTAAATGATGAATTAAAAAAGGGTTTGAATTCCAGTTTATTAGAAATAGTTCAAATATTTTCACACTGCCTTACTAATTAGAAACTAATGGATCGCACACCTTAAATGGTTAACTTTGAGTAATACAAATGAGAATGAGGAAATCAATTTTATTGATTTTAGGTCTATGATTGAGTATGCGTGAAAACATTGAACAATCGACGAGGTCACAAGTAAAAAAGTTCTACATAAAAAAGGGCCGACTGGTCGGCCACATATTGGCGACCGGTCATATTTTGTTCCGAGAGGAATAAAACCCTTCTGCTGCAACCCCATGGGCTAAACCCTAAACCTATCAGAATTGTGAGCCCAAAAAACCTCTCTCTAAGAGCACCTCCAGCGCTAGGGCCTTGCCCTAGCAATAGCCCCACTATGCCTTATTTCAGACTCCAGCACAGAAAACCCAGCTAGAGCAAGGCATGGGACCCACTAGCTTGGGCAAGCCCACATGCAAAAATGGATTGGGCTGTTGACGTTAGCGCTGACCCACCAACCCACATAGCCTAATGGCTACAAGCCACGTGGATTCTCCTGGAGCCTCTGATCAAAAAATCTTGCCCAATACAACGACTGTCCAATTTTTGGCTAAAAAAATTGAAAAAAATATAAAAAAATTATGGAATTTTTTTCTATAAATACATGCCAATATTATTCACTTTCCACACCAAATTTTCTACTACAAAATTCCATTTGTGCAAAAATACAAATGGCCTTTTCCATCGAAGCCGAAGGGTCATAGACAAACATTCGAAAAGGTCAAAATCTTGGCGACGAGGTAAAAAAAAAAAATTTCCGTTTTGTTCAATTTAATGTCATTTTTAAAATATATATTTCTTGCATTTCTAATTTCATTTTTTTAAATAGATTATTCAAGGCAAAACGAGAAAGAGGAAAACCATTACACATGGCTCCTCAAGTGAACAATGTCTGCAATCGGTTCCAGTGGTGCGTTCCGTGTTGAAAATAATGGTATTATTACGTCCTCCGAACCGAAGGAAAATACTCCCCCACGTAGTGATTCGGTGGAACCGCGTCCGCCAATGATTGAGTCGTCCTTGTACTCGATTGTGTCAGACTATGAGGACTGGGAGTATTTCAATTGTATGATGAGTGAGATGTGAATTTTATAATAAATATGGACACGTGGCAACCGAAAATCTTATTCGAAAATTTAATTTGAAAATTTTATCCGAAAATGTGATTTGAATTTTTAGGTGAGAATTTTATAATAAATATTGACACGTGGCAACCAAAAATCTTATCTAAAAAGCTTATCAAAATTAATGGTTTAAGTATAAAAAATAGAAAATAAAATAAAGTGAATAGTGTTTGCCATTGCCCTTGCTCTTTGAGGTGGAACCAAAAAAAACAAGGCTGTCACTATTCACTTGAATAGTGACAAACCTTGCCTTGCCCTTACCCTTTGGGGTGGAGGTGCTCTAATAATGTAGAGCAAGAGTACCATGCGTTAGAAACCAAATCCAACCCGTTATCGTCATACTGAAATGATGTATATATGAGTAGTTAAGGGAATGTCGAAGATGTCCTTTATCATCATTGTCCATATATTAAATTTTGTTAAATTCACAAAATGGGTATTAACTTGTAATCAAGAAGATTAAAAGTTGGCCATACAAACTTGTTACAACAAGTACACCTAATTACGCATTTGAAATATATATACTAATTTCTGTATGTGCTAAGATTTTGACAAAAATATACAGAAAGAAGATAAATTGATGTACAGGTCTAAAAGCTTTAGGCGTTTGGGAAAGGAGAGTTAGAGGTACTCCATGCATAAGCATGCATTCTGGTAAATACCAATCTATGAAGCCACTGCCATCTCCATTCTTATATTTAGCCATAATGCTCAACTCGTACGTAGTCAAAACCAAATTGTGGCATATACGCGGCACATATCACAGATTCACAGGCCAGGCCATATATGAATTTCCTTCCAAGGTTCTAATCACATGAAAGTTCTACACAAAACTGAAATCTGTTTTTAAGAATTAATCTACAAGATCCCTTTTATTTTATTTTTTTTGTCAATGGCTAGCTTGTTATGCTTCAATAGCTACTTCCAGTACCTTGCTTTCCAAGCTGCCTCTTCAGCTTCCCTAGCTTCCTCTTCAGCTTCATCAACTTTCCTAAATGCCTCTTCAGCTTCTGTGCAGCTGCTCGAGCCATAGCCACAGCAGCCTCCTGTCGGGCCGTGGTCCTTCTTATGATGATTATCTTCTTACGTTGTGGTCTAGATTAATAGTCTAACAAAATAAGCATTTATTTCATAGCATAATATATATAAATTTGTATTCTTTCAGGCAATTTCATCCTATGCATGTTAAGAAAAGGAAAAAAGCATTAAGAAGAAAATAAATTAATGATAATATCTTCCTAAATCCATATATATTTTGAATATATTTATTATTTTTAAAACATGAAATAAATATTGCTTCTTCTTTTTTTGGACAATGATCAGGTACCCAACTTGCCATTCGTGAAATAAATATTGAAAATTACAATATATATATATATATATATAAGTGTTGATTGGACTGTGGGATTAGTACTTGTTATATAAAGAATTCTCCTTTTATAGGCAGAAAAAAAAAAGTCAAATTGAAATATAAATCTCACGAGAAACCTGCCAATGATTTTCTAGATCTGGATCAAAAGAAGACTGCATGATTATGAAACCCTAACAGAACAAAGTAATTGTAACAGAAAATTAGAACTGGAGATGTACGTACCTCTGGTACATCATCGATTCGCTATTTTGAAGTTCGCACGTAATTCTAGCATCATCTTGGTCTTCAGATGACACAAACACCCTCCCCATTATCTCGGTATCTCTCTCCCTCTCGAAGAGGAACCCAAAACCTAATCAAATAGAAATTAATTGGAAGCAGGGTTTAGGGATAGTTTTATAGATGAGACGGAGTGGAGAGTTCTTTAGAATGGTTGTTTGGAAAATACGATGGGCTGTTTGTGGGCTAGTGCATGAACATATATGATCCGGATCTCCTAGGTTATTATCTGGCTCCATCTTAATGTCTATCCTTGACTATATAAGGGAGCATTTTTACTCACTACTTTAACTCAATGTGTGCTCTCGTCACTCTTCTCATGTCTTGACACGTATCTATAGTATAACCATAGTTAACTTTTTACTTTTAAATCTTTTATAATATTTAAAACCAAACTCCCCCCTCCCCGGCTGCCCCCCTAAGTGTACCCAGTTTTGATTAACGTACGAGACAATCTTGAGACAACCCAATATAATACTCTCTCCTCCTCCTCCCCCTCCTCCCTAGAGAATGACAAAAACACACAAAAAAAACAAAAACAAAAACAAAAGACAAAATAGAGTTAACTTCATAAATATCTTTTTTTGTTTTTTATTTTTGTTTTAAATACTTAAAAAGATTTAAAAAATTAAAAGTTAACTGTGGTTATGGGAAGGGTGGTGAGGGTAGACATTGAATTCAAATAGGATACTAAACATACCCTTAGTGCTTGAAGAGCTATTGTTAAAAATAGTTTTATCAAAAATAGCCAAAATGACCCCTTATTTTCATAAATATTGACTTTTATAAAAACTTTCAAAATTATAAATAAATAAATAAACTCACCAAAATATATTCAAATGCCTTCAAAATTAAAACCTACATAAACCTATAAAAAAAAAAAACAAAGAAGTGTCCAAGTAAGTTAACTCAAAATAATATAAAATAAAAAGAGAAAAAGTCAAACTGCGTTTGGCTCATGAGCCAATAAACTAAATTAGTGCAGTGACAACAAAAGAAAACAAAGCGGGCGTTGTTACCTTTTCTTTGGTTCGATTATGCATGCAATGTTCTCTGCAAGCAAGGAAGTGCAATGTGTTATGTGGAAAACAAATTTAGTCACTACTCTTTCTGAATTTTTTTTAAAGGAAAAAAAGAAAAGAAAAAGAAAGAAGAAGAAAAGTGTTAGAGTTTGTATAGAAAAACACTTTCACTTTGTCCCACATTAGAAGAGAGTAGCTTTCACACATAGTTTATAAGCACCAACTCACTAGAAATGCTGAGTAGAAAGTGGGCTAGTGAAATGGAATATGGGGCTATTAAATATATATATATATATATTCGTTAAAAGATGGGCTATGTTGATTAAATTTTTATTTTTTTAATTATCTAAAATTCGAATTCTATTTGCACAAGGGGTGGAGGAAAAATACTATCTAAAGGACACTGCAGGACTCTATCACCCAACCAAGTCAGTATTTTCTATTTTGATTCTGCTGCAGACGAAGAGTAAGGTAGCCAAACAATTATTAGAATGTAAAAGTATTAATCAAGCACAAATCAGTAAATGGCTCAGTTTCCATAATCAACAATCTGCAGCACATATGGAAAATATAACCTTCCACACCAGTAAAAATTTAGAGTAAAATCAAAAATAGCACTGACATTTACAGGGGAAGCCTTGTTCCCGAAAATTTAATTAAAGAAACGAGGCAATTTGATTTTCTCTCTTCTTTTTTTCTATTTATTTTGAGTTAACTTCTCCGGACACTTATTTTGTTTTTTAGGTTTATGTGGGTTTAGTATTGAGGGCATTTGAGTCTATTTAGGTGAGTATTTTGCTACTACTGAAAAAATTTATTAAAAATTGACAGTTGTAAAAATTGGGTGTAAATTTTGGCTACTTCTTATTTTATAAAAACTCATGAAAATAATGATACATAAAAATGAGAAGTATTTAGAGAGGTTTCACATCTAAGCATCTTTTACAACAATGTGTGTATAAAACCATTGATCAAGTTTATTCTTACCTAAATGTGTTGTCCGAATTAATAGTGTAACAACATAAGTATTTGTTTGGTAGCATAATTTAAAGAATTGTGTCTTCTTTCATGCAAATTCATGATTATATCTTCCTAAATCCATAAATAATTGGAATATATTGATTAGATTTAAAACATGAAATAAATATTGCATTTAAAAACTCATGAACGAATGGAATCTGTATCATTCCTATTTTTCTTCGCAATGTGACAAAGAAAAGGTTAAAGGCAGAACTACGTGCTTGACGGTGTATGTTCTTTTAGAAAATAAGGAAGGGACATGTTTTTAAAAATAAACAAAAGTATTACGTACGTTGGTGGGATCGAAGAAAATGAAAGGTAAAAAGCAGAGAGGATGTTTTTGGTAGCTCTGTTGTGCGCTATTCAGCAGAAACAAGACCTCTCATGTTCTTTTCTTAATGCATTCATGTGGACAGTGGCTGAATGATATTGATATGACAAGCCAAAGAAATAGCACATTTTGGAATCACATCAATATATTGTAATCAATTCTATAAAATGTACAAACTTTTTATTCATTCCAGACAGATATAACTTTAACCCTTAACTTAATGCTATGATACATATGAAGAAGCACTATGATGTGCAGAAGGAGATGTTTTTATGACATATTGCAAGAGTAGAGAGAGACACAGAGAGAGAGAGAGAGAGAGAGAGAGAGAGTGAGGAATGTACTTCAGCTTTCCTGGGTAGACGCTATTTCAATCTCATATTTCCTCATGATAGGAGTTCCATGCACAACACTATATCCAGTTACCGTTCGTGAGGGATCCGAACCGAAAGCGCTAGTGCCATATGTTCCATTTGAAGTATCATAGACAGGTGCAGTTGGGTATGAAGTATCCGACATCAAGTGCTGAAACGGGTTAGTTGAAGGTCTAGGAATCTCAATAGCTCCTTCCAACATTTTCACCACAACACTCATCGCAGGCCTTGCCTCAGGAATATACTGGACACACCAAATAGCAACCTTTACAATTCTCTCAGCCCTCTCTTTATCTTTCTCCTCTATTCCGCAAACTACCATTATCTCTTCTAGTTCTCCAGGCTCAAACTTCTTCCAAACCCACCTTGGGAACCAGTCTTGGCTGTCTTGAATATTATTGTCAAGATTCCTTCTCCTGCCTATGATCTCAAACAATAGCATCCCAAAGCTGTAAACATCACATTTGTGTGTTACAGAAAACCTCATCCAAACTTCCGGTGCAGCATAACCAGGAGTGCCTCTGCCCCCAGTCATGGTTATATGAGTATTATCCCTGTTACAGAGCTTGGCCAAACCAAAATCAGCTACTTTTGGAAAGAAATTTGCATCCAAAAGAATGTTTCCAGGCTTTATATCGTAATGGACTATTCGTTGTTCGCATTCTTCATGCAAGTAAGCAATCCCTCTCGCTGTCCCCACCGCAATTTCATGAAGCTTTTCAAATCCTAAGTCCTTGTTGCTATGAAATAAGAACTTGTCAAGCGATCCATTTCCCATGTACTCATAAACAAGTGCTCTGAGGTGTTTCTCAAAGCAGAAGCCATAAAGACGGACCAGATTGAAATGGTGAATTCTTCCAATTGTACTAACTTCCGCCATAAATTGTTCCTCGATTCTCTTGTCTGAGCTCCCATTTAGAACCTTCACTGCTACAAGGGTTCCATTACTAAATATCCCTTTATAAACTGCACCAAATCCTCCTTGCCCCAACAAGTTGGTGAAGTTATCAGTTGCAATCCGAAGATGTTGAGAAGTGAACCTGATGGGCTTCTCTCCTTCCATATCATTTAGAAACTTGTCCATTGTGAATGTCTGGAAGTCGGGATTAAGGAAAGAGCTGCCTGTCTGACTTCTTTTCTGGCATTCTTGAACCACGAAATTCACTATAACGATCGTCACTAAGAGGACCACTGCATAATTTAAAACTCAATGAAAATCCATTAGCACTTGACAATTGTTGCTTTTTTCTAAAATGAAATGAAGATCAAGTAATTAACAACAAATCAATGCAGGAAACAAAAAGCAAACGGGGAGAGGGATAGATCTTACCCGAACCTATGGCAATAACTGCTGTTTCTCCAATGTGGAACTGTGATGGACTCTCGTAACTCGACATTATCGGCGAAATTAATCAGAGGATATATTACAATGGAATTATAAAAAGCATTCAACAAACTCCCAAATGTTCGGTAGTAGCGCAATTTAGATTACACATGACAAGATATGGATTTCATTAGACGGAAAGCTCAAGGTAAAGAACAGTTCGGTAAGTCCATTCTTTGACCAAACTGAAACTATTCTAATCGTTGAATCCGTGTGGGGTTTCCATCATGATGATTTGATAACAAGGCCGGCTATAGAAAATGGTGATTTTGTATTAAGGTTCCAAAACCTTTGCTTTGTTTTATCATCTTTGGACTACATAATCTGCCCTCTCTAAGTATTTAGTGATAAGTCCCAAGATGTTATAATCAGTCTCCTTAATATTATACATATCAGTCTCCTTCAGTTGAGCGATATCTCTCAACTATGGTTAAGTTTAAGGAAAAATATTTCTATGTAAATGTTGAGCAAGAGTGACAGGTACATATGGAGACTGTTAGAATTCTTAGTTTGTATATGTATTTTCAGATTAGGAAGAGATGTATTTTCTGGAGATTTCAGCTAGAGAGAATGAAGAGAAATGAGGAAGGCACTGTTCTATTGAATTCTTACAATCTGCAGCTTACATAGTGTGACTGACGTAGAGAGAAATGTGATTCTCTTCTAACAGAATTACAACTGTCACCCTATTAGGTGCTTACACGTGTCATACCAAATCTAAGCTAGAGAATCCACCTAGACTATGATCTAATGGTTCTCATTACATCATTTAAAATAGACAGAACAGAAAATAGAAAATGACTTCTGCCTAAGAAATCAGGCAGAACATGACTTCTTCTCTAAGAAATCAGGTAGAACATGACTTCTGCTCTAAGAAATCAAGCAGAACAGGATTATATTTCAACACTCCCTTCTAATCCTTTAGCTGATTTCACTCCAAGCAAGCTTCTCAACCTCACAAACCGATCCTTAGGCAGAGCCTTAGTCAAAATGTCTGCTATCTGATCTTCTGTCTTGCAGTACACCAGTTCGATTTCTTTTGCTTGAATGGCTTCCCTTATAAAATGAAATTTCCTGCTGATGTGCCTTGTCTTTTGGTGATGAACTGGATTCCTTGCCATTGCAATTGCAGAGGTGTTGTCACATAGAATTGGAGTCCCTTCTACCTGTTCTTCACCAAAATCTTCAAGCACAAATCTGAGCCACTTAGCTTGTGAAGTTGCTTCTGCAGCGCTCACATACTCAGCTTCGGCTGTAGATAAAGCAACTGTGTTTTGCTTGATGGAAGCCCAAGAGAACATGCCTGAGCCTAGTGTGAAGGCATATCCTGAGGTGCTCCTCATATCATCCTCACTCCCAGCCCAGTCACTGTCACAATACCCAATTAGAGTAGCTGTTTTCCCCTTTGCAAACTCAATTCCAAAATCTAATGTGCCTTGTATGTATCTCAGCACCCTTTTAGCAGTTCCCATGTGTTTCTTTGAGGGATTGTGCATAAACCTAGCAAGCAAGCTAGATGCAAACATGACATCTGGTCTTGTGGCAGTCAGATAAAGCAGACTCCCTACAATCTGTCTGAATTCATTTTCATCTGCTGCTTCACTTCCATCTTCTCTACACAATTTCTCATTTACCACTAATGGAATTGCCACTGACTTGCAGTCTCTCATTCCAAACTTCTCAAGAATTTTCATGGCATATTTCTTTTGATGAATGAAAATATGCTTATCAGTTTGTTCCACTCCCATGCCAAGAAAATGGTGCAACATACCCAAGTCTGTCATCTCATAGTGTTGCATCATATCTTGTTTAAACTCTTCAAGCATTTTAGGACAGCTTCCAGTATATATAATGTCATCTACATAGAGTGAGACAATGATAATACCTGAGGTGTCACTTGTTTTGATATAGAGAGTAGCTTCACTTAAGCTCTTCTTAAAACCTGCAGTGTTGAAATAGGCATCTATTTCATCATACCAGGCCCTTGGGGCTTGTTTCAGTCCATATAGAGCCTTGTTCAACCTGTACACCTTGGTTTCCTTGCTCTCTTGAACATATCCTTGAGGTTGTTCAACATAAACTTCCTCCTTTAGAATGCCATTGAGAAAGGCAGACTTCACATCCAGTTGAAATAGGTTCCATTCCTTTTGTGCTGCAAGGGCTATCAAGGTTCTGATGGTGTCAAGTCTTGCCACAGGGGCAAATGTCTCATTATAGTCGATTCCAGGCTTCTGTGAATAGCCTTTAGCCACAAGCCTAGCTTTATTCTTCTGCACAGTACCATCTAGGTTCAGTTTGACCTTGTAGACCCACTTAACACCAATTACTGGTTTGTCAAATGGCCTGTCAACTAATTTCCATGTATTGTTCTTCTTAATCATCTTGAATTCAGCCTCCATTGCACTTCTCCATGATTCATCCAAATCTGCTTCTTCAAAGCTGTCAGGTTCTACAATGCACATGTTGCATTGTGTCATGATGTCATTAATACTCCTCCACTTGTGAGGTGTGTGATCAACCCTTTGAGTCTCATCAAGCATTTCTTCCCCTTGAGGTGCAATTTCTTCTTCTTCCATTTGCATTTGAGTATCCAAAAACTGAGATTGTTCATCTAATACCTTCTGTTCAGTTTCTGCAGTACCTTGATTTCCATCTGGCATAGGCATTCTCACATCTGCATTGCTAGGATTCTCCCATGTCCATGAGGCTTCTTCATCAAAATAGACATCCCTAGACAAGATAATCTTTATAGTCTTAGGATCATACAGTCTATAGCCTTTTTCACACAATCCATAGCCCACAAAAATGCATTTGTGACTGTTTTCTTCCAACTTGTGTCTCAAAACAGAAGGAATAAGCACATGACATAGGCATCCAAACACTTTCAAGTGTGCAATACCTGGCTTTCTTCCTGTGAAGGCCTCAAATGGTGTCATTTTCTTAAGAGACTTAGAAGGACACCTGTTGAGAAGATAGACTGCTGTATGAACAGCTTCTGCCCAAAACTCATATGGAAGTCTCTTTTCATGTAGCATAGACTTTGCCATCTCAATTACAGTCCTGTTCTTCCTCTCAACAACTCCATTTTGTTGAGGGGAATATGCTACAGTCAGCTGCCTTTGTATTCCAGCCTCACTGCAGTATGCAAGAAATTCATTTGACATGAATTCTCCACCTCTGTCACTTCTAAGTGATTTCACCTTGTGTCCACTCTGCAATTCTGTCATTGCTTTGAACTTCTTGAAACATTCAAAAGCATTAGATTTATTTCTGAGAAAATAAACCCAAGCCATTCTTGTATAGTCATCAATGAATAACATGAAATATCTGTTTTCTGATATTGATGCAATCTGCATAGGACCACAGATGTCAGTGTGGACTAATTCAAGTGGAAACTGAGCTCTCCAAGTAGATTCTGCAGGAAATGAGTCTCTATGCTGCTTTCCCAGCTTGCAGCCTTCACAAACTGCAAAATCCTTCTCCAGACTAGGCAGTCCATGAACCATGTCTTGATTTGCCAGCATCCTGATGCTTTGATCATTAAGATGGCCCAGCCTTTTATGCCAAGTCTGCAAACTGTGAGTCACACTTGCTCTCAGCACCAACTGAGTAGCAGGTACCATTGTGAGAGAGAAACACCTATTGATAGTCATTGGAACCTTAGCTATAGGATTTTGCAGTGACCAATCATCAAAAATTGTCACCATTCCCTTTCCAAATACTAAACAATACCCATGTTCCATCATCTGACCAACACTGAGCAAGTTCTCTTCTAAACCAGGCACCAACATCACTTCTTGAATGTGTTTTCTGCCTGTCTTGGTTTCTATCACAAGTGTGCCTTTTCCTACAACTTGAACTGTCTCTCCAGTCCCCATTTTCACCTTGGAAGTTACATCCCTTCGAATATCTATCAATAACCTTTCATCTCCAGTCATATGGTTACTGCAACCACTGTCCACATACCAAGAATTGTTCAATTTCACATCTGTCACGGCATTGCATGCATAAAATAATGTTCCAGTTACTTCAGCTTGATTGGCATAATTCACCTTCTGCACAGGTTGATTTTCATGGCAATTTCTAACTATGTGACCAAACTTTCCACATCCTCTGCATTTTGGTTTTCCTTCAAACCAGCACTTGCCATAGTGCAGTTTTTCACAGTGCTTGCAAGGTGTTTTAGTTCCATCATTTGATGCATTTGGTTTGGGATTAGAATTGGACTTGTTATTCCAATTCTTCCCATTTCCCTTCCAGTTCCTCTGAGACTTGTTACCTCCAGAAGAACTTCCATTCTTAGAGCTTTTACTCTCTATGTTCAGGCTAGTAAAAGCCTTTTCTGTGGAATTTTCAGTGTGCCTATCCAACCTGAGCTCAAAGTTCTTGAGAGACGCAACCACTTCTTGAATTTCAAGAGTGTCAAGATCCTTTGAATGCTCAATCACAGAACATATAGAGTCATAAGATCTAGGCAAGCTAATAAGTAATTTCTGCACAACTCTTTCTCTAGGTAACTCTTCACCATAACTTTTCATTTGATTAATTAGATCAAATAGTTTAGCAACATAACTAGAGAATGACTCACTATCCTTCATACGAGTGTATTCAAACTCTCTACGTAAGCCTTGTAGCTTCACACTTCGTACCTGTTTATCGCCTCTAAACTCCTGCTTCAGAATATCCCATGCACCTTTTGAGGTTTCTTCATTCACTATTCTGGGAAAAATTTGGTCTGAGACTGCACCTTGGATCAGTCCAAGTGCACGAGCATCTTTCATCAAAATCTCAGCCGTTATA